TATTGTGTTGCCTCTCTCTCCCCCTGGGCCTGGAGCTTCAGCTCCTGGTGTGTGTGTGTGTGTGTGTGTTTTATATTGACATTCTAAGGCCGGTGTAGTCAGACATGGCTGTCACCATGAAGCATTAATGAGCTCACACACACACACACACACACACGTACACGTACAGGCGGTCCTCCTCAGGAGATCAGCCAATCATCTGCTCTCCTTCCATGTATTTTTGTTTTCCCTCAAACATGGAGGAGAAAAAAAACCCTGGACTTTGTTGAACCTTTCATTTTCACTCTTGGTTTCTTCTACTTCACTTCTCACAGTCTCCCCCCCCTCTGTCCCCCCTCCTCTCTCCCTCCCCCTCTGTTGTGTGTGAGGTCTCAGTGTGGACCTGCAGACTCACCTGACAACTCTATTAATACACAGTTGTGTGTGTGTGTGTGTGTGTGTGTGTGTGTGTCCTCACTGTGAACATTTGTCTGAAGGACCTTCAACTGAACTACACTCACAGTCAGAATCTGACTGTTGGAGATCAGGCTGTAATCTGATCCTTTAATCTATTAAAGGAGAGATTAGGCTGTAATCTGAGGATGGAGCAGCCTTTCATCCTCCCCCTCTCCCCCCTGTCTCCCCCCTGTCTCCCCCTCCCCCCAGCTCCAGTCCGTTTACTCTGACGGCCTTTTTTTTATTTATTTATTTTTCTCCCAATTTTAAATCCTTGATTTAATTTGGGAATTCTCAGCTTCCATGTCAATAACACACACACACACACACACACACACACACACAGCCGTGTCGTCCCAGCTCCACTGACCTGTCAATCACCACTGACTGCACTGTTGTGATGTGAAACTGTCCGACTTCCACCAACGTGTAGAGTTTAGTCCGACCGTCGGTCGACACCGTGACGTGTTTACACACATGTTTATATAAATGACAGGTGCAGAGACGTTGATGACCTGAAGGGTGCAGTTCCAGTTTTGTCCACCATCAGCACAGATGAATCCACAGGTTGTTTCCGTTGAGTTGATTTGTCTGACGTTGAAGTCTGACGTTGGATTTTCTTTGTTTGACTGAGGGTTGATGGTTAAATTCCCGTGGTTTGACCGTGGCCCTGATCTTTCTGTTGAACCAGCCCACCTTCTCTCATCAGTCTCCTGTTCCTCACCTGGTTCCTCACCTGGTTCCTCACCTGGTTCCTCACCTGGTTCCTCCGTCCTTCATCAATCCTCTTCACTGCCACCTGCTGGTTCTCATGAACTGAAGGAGGAACCCACTGCAGTTAGATTAAACTTCTGGACCCTCTCTGGAAAAATCTTTACAGGATGCCTTTCTCACCGCCCCACACACACACACACACACACAGAGGTAATTACTCTGCCAGTTTGAATCTGTCTCCTGCAGCTGAGAACGATCCGTTAATGAATGCGTGTTAAACAACAAAGAGGAGGAGATAAACAGAAGACCAGCAGGAGGCAGCGTGGAGACACAGATGAATGGAATGATACGGGATTCCCTCTGAGGACCGACGTGGAAGACGCACTGACGGAGAGGACGGATTAGAACTGATCACACAGACATATGGTGTTCTGCTCTCGTCTCCACTCCACCACCGTGTCGTCTCTCCAGGAAGAGGAGGACCATCTGTACTGTACCCCCCCACACACACACACACACATACATACATGAATTCCTCGTGTCGCGCGCCCGCCCCCCCCCCCCAGGTTGGGTTCCGATCCACTGCCCCTCGTTGTCCTGGTCCGTCCTGGTTCTTGTCTTTGTCTTTTTTTCTCCAGCGTCTGCTCAGTTTCCCATCACTGACGTCACCAGTTGAAAACCTGGTCATTTTTCCGACCACAGACCAGTGTTTGAGACCACCAGGCGTTCACGATGTCGTTGTTCCAGATTCTCAGAGTCAGTTACCCCCCCGTCCCCCATCAAAGGGGAGATCAAAGCCATTCCATACCTTCATCTCACGTCCCACTTCCTATAAAAGCCAGTCTGTTAATTCGACCCCCCCTCGTCCCCCCTCGTCCCCCCTCCTCACCCATTCAGTTCAGATCTACATATATTCATCATTTGTGGTCGACTGATGAACAAAAAAAAAAGAAAAATCACGACAGTCGTCAAAAGGGGAGTTTCATCAGACCAAGGTTGAACCAAATGTGAACGACTTCTGGTCTGTTTGACTTTGATTTTCTGGTTTGAACCTTGACTGTTCATCGTGCTCCCTGTAAAACTAAAACTGAAACTTTACCACCAACTGTGACGTCAACATGACAACAACAACGACAACAATGACAACAACAACGACAACAACAACAACAACAGGGCGTCGACCAAAACATCTTTAAACCAACAGACCAGCTGGTTCTTTCAGTCTCACTTCACTCTTTTCTAACTCACCCAGAACCAAACCCTTGTTTCATGGCAGGAATCCGTGCCGTCGTCCTCAGATCTGAGATTGTTGTCAAAAAGAGGACGGAGTCTGAGGGTTAAAGAGTGAAGTGTGACAGATGGGGGGGGAGGTGTGTGTGTGTTTAAATGGCCGTGGCCGTACAGCAGTGTGTGTGATTCATGGACCGCAGCAGCTCCAACATTTCTCTTCTCTGTCTCAGATCCTGACTCAGAGTTTTTGGCTCCGGCCGTCGTGATTGGACCTAAAGACACAACAGTGGTGGCAGGAAGAGAGGTGGCGCTGGAGTGCATCGCTAATGCCAGGTACATTTCTTTTATGTACATACTTATATAAGCACACACACACGCGCACGTGCACACACACTTATAGACACACACACACGCTCCGATGAGCAGTTCTTTTCTTGCCAGACTGCACTGTTCTTCCTCCAGGGCAATTAGAGGACAGAACAGGAAGTCGTTACTCAGCAAGTCTCTACCACACACACACACACACACACACACACACACACACATTAACCCAAACAGAATGATTACCCAAATGTGGGGGGGGGGTGTTAATAACTGTCCTTCTTTGATGTGATTGGTTCAGACCTGCAGTCTTTGGATGATTCAAACACTTCAGTTACAGTTCACACACAGACATGATGATGTCATCCTCCAGCCTGCAGCGCCCCCTAACGCCTCCATCAGCAGCTTCATTAATATCAGACGTCATTGTGCCTGGTCAGCCAGAGTACATCTGTGATGTCATCACCCCCCCGCCCCCCTTCACCACCCATGGGAGGGCGTTAATGGATGTGGTAATGCCCCAGAGAATTCTACACACAGTCAGAGAGGTCAAAGGTCAGAGTCCACGGTCAGTGACTGACCGGTGTATACAGCGCAGAGCCTGGCTGTTCTGTTGAGCTGTACACTCTCCACAGTACTGTAGTAGTCCATTAATGTGTGGACTCTGGGCTCTGGTTACCATGGTAACTGAATGTTGTGAGAATTAACAGAACATTAGAGTTTCTTCAGTCTAACGTCAAAGGAAGTCCATTCCCAAACACTGGTCTGTTAGCGTTCCAGCTAACAGCTCATGAATAAAGCCTACAGTCGGAGGACGTGAGGACGTGTCTCCATCACGGCGCCGTCCCACTGGGAGCTGTTATGAACTGATGGGATCAGCCACGGAAGAATGTCCTAAAGAGGTAGAAGAGGAAAACCAGTGAGGAAGAAAGAAGGAAGAGTGTGGTCCAATCAGATCCTTCAGCTGTGAGCGCCCGTTAACCACCAACCAACAAGTGGTTCTGGGTAAACTGCCGTCCTGGTGTTGATCCTCCTCCTGCTCCTGACTCACTGTCAGAACTCATTTCCTGCGGCGGTGACTCGTCTCTAACGCTTTAATCTGATGTAATTGTCTCCTGTCAGTCCTCAGCTCTTTGTCCACTAAATCTTGTCTCCTTCTTCACCCACTTCTCCGTTTGTCCAGACCCATAGACGGCCTCGTTGTCTCGTGGAAACGTGATGGGCGTCGACTGGCCACCGGGTGGCGGCTCATCATTCCCGCCGCCGCCTCCTCTGACACGGGGTCGTACGTCTGTGAGGCGTCGGTCAGCAACAGCACTGCCAAACCTGCCGAGGCCGGAGCCCTGCTGACCGTCATTGGTAAGAACGACAGACAGACAGACAGTTAGTGACTGACACACACATACTGTATATATATGTGTGTGTATATATATATATATACACACACATATATATACATATATACTGTATATGGGTAGACATGAGCTGATGTTCAGTGTTTCCTGTTTCCTGTGGTCTTTGCTCCAGTCTCTCTGTCTCCGTCTTCTTCTTCTTCTTCTTCTTCTTCTTCTTCTTCTTCTTCTTCTTCTGTCACAGTCATGACTTTAGCTGAATCTGTTGTCCACACTGTCCAATAAACCCTTGTCCCTCTTCACAACAGTTATGTCTAGACCCCCCCCCCCCACCCCCCGCCCT